GTTTCAAATTTTCCAATAAAGTTTATCTTTCTAATTAACATTTTTTTTTTTCAGAACTGGTGTAATTTTAAGCTTCGAATATGGTACATCATACTTAATTAATGAGACATGAACGTTAACTGCTTTTGGTCAAGTTAGTGAATTCGTTCATGTTTTCGTTCTTTAAAATGACAGACTATGGCTCGTTGCTGGTGACTCACAGACATTCGAGGGGTTCCAATATAACTTTCACGGTCTTGAGTTCGATTCCAGGGTTGAATTTAAAAAAAAAAAAAAGAGAACCATAAGAGAACTATGAGACACGGAGGTAAGAAGAGTTGGAAGGAACAATCATGACTACGAGAAATTTCCAATCTAATAAATTAAGTTTGGGTTTTTATTGTCTCATCAGTCATGAAATGCTTGAATATACATGGGAAATATAGCATGTGTCAAGGACAACACTCACTAAACAAGGGACTTCAGCCAGCCATTGCTAATATCAGCCGTGATGATTTCGCGAGAGGATCGGAATGCAAGATCGAGAGTTGAATAAAACCTTAGCTGATCGAGACATCAACTTATGATGAAATGACCCGCTCGCGATCACGTGATTATGAGGCGATGTGTGTTCGCGGGAAAAATCGTGTCTTTCTTCATTGATTCAATTGCACTCTTAAATAACAACTTTTTGAGTTACAAAGATCCGGTCTTTTTATAAGATCCGGTTACAATGAAAATCAAAGAAAATAAAAGAAAGATTACAACTTTTTATCCTTGTTTGTCGAACGAATCGCGAGCTCCTGTTTTGCGGTCACTCGCTTTGTGGGTTCTTTGCCTGCGCCGGGGTTTATCCGTGGACCACCGCGAGATCTAGATCCGGTCGGATCTACGCAGTACGACGGGTATTATTCCACAAAGGAAATAATAGCCGGGGAGGATTGATTCACCAAGGAAACAATCGTCCAAGTCTCGGGATCTAAGACCAAGCTTAGATCCGGAGTACGTCTGCGTAGATCTGAGATCCGGTCCTCTCGAACACCTGCCTTTTTTAGCGTTGACGATCGCTGAGCACCAGATCTGGAAGAGTGAGTCCCCGAAGTCCCAAAGCTCCAATCTTTTTTAAGTTTCGAGTCTTGAATCCGGCAGAGCTTCGCCTCCAAAATTTCCAACCAGTCCTCGAAAATGATGAATGACCCCGCCTATTTATAGGCAACCAGATCTGTGCATTTGGCACAGATCTGGGCGGCCACCTCAGGGTGGCTCGGCTCATGCCGAGCCACCCTAGGGTGGCTCGGCCTTGGCCGAGCCGCTGAAGTGGCTCGGTTTCGGCCGAGCCCCTCAGGGGTGTTGGGTTTTGTAGTTTTGTCTGTTGTATCCGTTTTGTCCGTGATTCCGGTTGTGGCGGTTGATTTGTCTGGACTCGATTTGTTGACCTCCTGATTTGGCAGTCGATCCGAATCCTGATTTGGCAGTAAATCCATTCCTGAGTTCGAGTCCAGAAACCCGATCTTGATTCGATCGTGAATTCGTCCGAGGTTCCCGCTCTTGTTTGAATGACTCGTTGATTCCCGAACTGTTGGCTTTGATTCCACGCTCGAATGGATGTATTCTGTGCTTGCGTGTGGTTCGTCACCCTCCGTCGCCTCGTTGGTTCGTCTGGTTTGTGCGGCTATGCTAAGGACCTATAAGCAATTTTATATCTCTACAGATACCCCCTCCAAAGTATTTCAGGCCGTCGTTCTTTTATAGAAGAGTCTGGAATACTTTGGATATGATTGTCCAACCTTCAGTCGGTATAACGGGACTTTTGGAATGGCTTCTGTTCTTGATTCTTCAATCTTCGCAGCTATTCTCAGTGTTTGTCGAATGTCTGTAGAGTTCGCGGTGCTGCATTTATTGTCTGACCGTTGTCGAATTTGTAACTTGAAGTCGACTCCTGATTTCTAATCTTTAGGAGCATTGAACGATTGTTGGTGTTGAGTTTTTGTTTGCGACGCGTTGTCCGGCCAGTGTGTCTGTTGATGTTTAGTTCCTTAAGAATATTTATGAAAAATATTCTCCAGGAACTTCTCAACTAAAAATAGGGAATAGTTTATACTCGTATACCTTATTGGAGTATTAAGAAGCAGTTTATACTCGTATACTTTTCGGAGTATTAAGAAGCAGTTTATACTCGTATACTTTTCGGAGTATTGATTCTTTCATTGCAACGCATTGATAGGCATTGACCTAGGGTTACGCGTTGACCGGCGTTGACCCTAGGGTTTCGAATGTCGTTGGATGCTCAAGTCACGAGACCAACTAATGAAGCTGATGCGTCAGTGACTCTCGTATTTATAGAACTAACCCCCAGCCATCAACGGGTTTGATAAGCCTTTACCGACTACCGTTTGAGTCGGGCTAGCATGCGGATTATCTAAATCCGTTCCGCATGTGACGTTGTGCTAAGAGAGTTAACGCTCTTAGTGCTACGATATTGAATACGTAGACTTCGTCTTTCTCACGGGAATAGACTACCCGGCGACGCGTGTTAGGCGTTGACTTTAGGATTTTTGGCTAACCCTCAGCCTTCAATGGGTTTGATAAGCCTTTACCGACTACCGTTTGAGTCGGGCTAGCATGCGGATTGTTCAAGTCCGTTCCGTATGTGATGTTGTGCTAAAGGAATGAACTCCCTTAGACTTGATGCTACAACTTCGAATATGTAGACTTCGCCATTGTTATGGGAATAGGCTACCCAGCAACGTGTTTTAGACGCTGACTTATCCCTACTTAGGCTTCGGGATAAAACTAGGAGTTCATTCCTATAACAATGAAAACTAGGAATGAAACTAGGAGTGAGACCTCCATAACAATGAAACTAGGAGTGAGACCTCCACTCCGAGAATCGAAAACTTCGGATGATCCTAATTGTCAGAAGTTTTGATTACCGAACTAAAGGTGAATTTCTCGTTTATCGAGAGTGAATTATGGTTTTGACCCTAACTGTAGGAAGGTTTGGCCAAATGGGAGTTTGAGGTGACCCTAACTGTAGGAAGGTTTGATCACTTGATTTGAAAGTGGACCTCTCGTTCATTGGAGGAATCGAGAGGGGATTTTGACTGTGGTCCTAACTGTAAGAAGGTTTGACCAATTGGGAGGTTTGAGACGATCCTAACTGTAAGAAGGTTTGATCGCTCGATCTGTGGACCTCTCGTTCATTGGAGGAATCGAGAGGGGGATTGTGACTGTGGTCCTAAGGTTTGACCAGGTAAACGGTGAGTTTAGTGCTTATTACTTTATTTGTAATGATCGGGTTATCCCTAAGAAAATTACATGTAACATTCTTTCAGGAACTTCCCGTTATATGAATTATCCATCCCTAGCTTTTCTTGCGAAACTGGGTTTATCATCGTATCGGTTGCATGATCGGGTTATCCTTAAGAATACCACGCATGGCACTCTCCAGGAACTTCCCGTGGAAGAAAGGAAATAGTTTAGACTCATATACCTATTGGAGTATCAGAGAGCAGTTTAACCTCTTATACCGGTCGGAGTAGGGAGCAGTTTAACCTCTTATACCGGTCGGAGGATTGAGAAGCAGTTTATACTCGTATACTCTTTGGAGTTGTGTCGTTCTTAACTGGCTTACCTTAGCGTCATGACGCCGGCTTCAACCAAGGTCTGAATACTATTCTTGAGAGCAAAGCAATCCTTGGTGGGGTGAACGACCCTCCTATGGTATGCATAGTACTTTGGGTCTGTAGTGTTGTCAGCTTCCTCCTGATTTGTGATAGGTGGTAGTTTGATCTTGTTGCTTCCAAGGAGGGATTCGAAGATGGCTGGAACGTCTTCGTCCTTGAAGGAATACTCTCTTTGGAGTCTCGGACCCGAAGCCTTCTGCTGTCTCCGGGATTGCTGTTGCGACGTTTGATTAGCACCATCAGCAGCTGCAGGTGCCTTGCCCTTACTATAAGAGGCGAAGTTTGAGTTCAGCGGATTAACCGTCGGTCGGTTCCTCTCGGCCTTCTTCCTTCGGAGGAAGCGTTCGGCTTGTTCACCGCGCATCTTCAGATCCTTCCATGTTTCGGACGGTGCTGTCCCCATTGCTTCCAACACGTCCAAGGACAGATTATTATGGCAGGTCTGGGGGATGAAATTTTCGGTGATCGGGTCCCGGCAGTTCATCGCCTTGTTCCGGAACCTTTTGACGAAGGTGTCGACCAATTCCCCGTCTTTTTGTTTCTCATCGAGCAACGTTCCGATGGATATCTCTGTGTCGTCGTCGAAGAAATTGGTGAGGAACATGGTCTCCATATCGTCCCAGTTGTTCACACTACCTGGCTTGAGGCGACGATACCAATCGAAGGTGGCTCCGCGAAGGGTGCCGACGAATGACCGCACCATCAGAGGCTCATTGCCGGAGATTACCCCCAGGTGCGATTTGAAGTAAATCAAATGCTGAGTGGGTGAACCCTTCCCATCAAATGGCGTGAAGTTAATTAGGTTGAACTTCGCCGGATATGGGATCGATTCCCACTCTCTCGGGTATGGACAGGGAATGCCTGTT